TCTCTCTCTCTCTCTCTCTCTCTCTCTCTCTCTCTCTCTCTCTCTCTCTGTCTCTCTTTCCCCTTGTCCTCCTACCTCTCTGACCTTTCCTCCTCTGTTTCCTTCACTGGATCCTCATCCAGATCACCCACTTTAACTATAGAGGTCCTATAGGCTCTTGTCCTGGGCTCTTTTCTCTCCTTCCACTTGATCTCTCATCAGCACCCAAGGATTTTAACTGCCACCTCTATGCTGATGATTCTCAGATCTACCCATCCTGACCCAATCTCTCTGCCAAACTCCAATTTTCCATCTCCAACTGCTTTTCAGACATCTTCAACTGGATGTCCAGTAGACGTCTTGAACTCAGTATGTCCACAACTAAACTCATTATCTTTCCCCCTAAGCCCTCCCCACCTCCTTCCTTCCTTATTACTATAGAGGGCAACACCATCCTCTCAATCCCTTGCAAACAGGCTTGCAAACTAGGAGTCATTCTCAACTCTTCACTATCTATCACTGCCACACACACATCTAAGCTATTGCCAAAATCTGTTGATTTTTTACCTCTACCACATCTCCTCAATATGCCTCCCAGCCTTCTCTGACACTGCTCTCACCCTGGTGCAGGCCCTCATCACCTCAGGCCTGTAATATTGCAATAGCTACTGGGGGTAGGGGTGGTCTCTCAAGCCTCTCCCTACTCCAATCCATCTTCAATTCAACCAGCTTCCATTCTGGGCAGGTTTGACCATGTCATGCTTTCCCTCCAACCCCACTCAGTAAACTCCAGTGGTTCGCTAATACCCCCAGGATCAAATATAAAATTTTTTGTTTGGCATTCAAAGCCCTTCACAACCCAGCTCCCTCCCATTTTTCCAGTCTTCATACACCTTAATCTCAGACATATACTCCTTAATCCAGTGACCCTGGCCTTCTGGCTGCTCATCAAATGAGACTCCATCGCTAAGCTCTGGGCATTTTCCCTGGCTGACCCTCATGACTGGAATGCTTTCCCTCCTCATATCTACCTCCAGTTTCCCTAGCTTTCTTTAAGTCAAACTAAAACTCCATCTTCTAAAAGGAGTCTTTTCCAAGTCCTCTTAATTCTAGTGCCCTCTCTCTGTTATTTCCTATTTGCCCTGTGTATAGTTTGCTTACATGTATTTTTCTGCCTGTTATCTTCCCAGCTAGACTGAGAGCTTCCTGAGTGCAGGGACTGACTTTGTTCCTTTTTGTACATCTGGCACTTAGCACAGTGCCTGGCATATAGTAGGTGCTTTGTAAATGTTAATGGATTAATCGATTGATTAATTCTTACAGGGTTGTGGAGAAAATAAAGGAAAAATTAAAGATTAGTGATAAGGTGTGTATATATATATATATATTATATGTATGTATGTATGTACATATATATGTGAATATATGTGTGTATATGTATAGATGTATGTATACCCATGATTCACTCCAGAGGGTAGTGTTTCTTTTTACAATAACTTCAGTCCAATGGCAGTGACAATTCTGTTAACTGTAACTTACATAGTACTTTAAGGTTTGCAACGCACTTTACATATATAGACATACCTGTGTGTGCACGTATGTGTGTGTATCATCTCATTTCAGCCTTTTAACAACCCTGCCAGGGATAGGCACTATAGTTATTATTATCTCCAAATTTTGGATGCCCCAAAGATGATTCAGGGTCAAACCTTCAGAAAGAAGGCCAACAGGATGTGTGCTTTTTATTGGGGGCTACCTGAGGATGAGACACTCAGAGTTGGGGGTGGGTAGGACCAAACTCAGAAGCATCGACGATGGATGATAGAAGGGCCATAGTCCTCATATTCATAAGCATAGATCCACATGTGTTGAAAAGAATTCAGAGTGGTCAGGATGGAGCCACCCAACCAGGAACAGAAGCGGCATTCTGTCGGCACGATCACCTGGAGGAGGAACCAGAAGGAGGAAGTGGGAGCCTCCTGGGGCCGAAAGCTGGAGTGGGAACAGGACTCAACTCAAGAGTCAGAAAAGACCTTACCAGCTGCATAGCCTCCTCCTACTAGCGCTGTGATCTCCAAGTGCTGTTATCAGTAGATCACAGGGAAAGACTGCTGGCTATGGACTCAGAGGATCTGGATTCAAATCTCACCTCTGGCACTTACTGCTTGCAATATTATGGGCAAGTCACAACCTCCCTGGGCCTCAGTTTACCTGTGGGACTTTGCGTAAGTCACTTAAGCTCTCTATGCTTATGAGCTGGTAGAGGCATTTCTACAAAATAAGATGCCCATTTTTATCAGATGAGGGCGCTGAGGCACAGAAGAAATATGTGACTTGCTCAAGGCTATACAATGAGTCCTCCTGACTTTGCATAAAGAGTATCCCTGGTGCTTTTAGGAACTTTACAGACTACTAAAGACCTGTCTGAGCAAATGGTCTCCTTAAAGACTCCGGGTTGGTGTTCTCTGTTCAGCAGGACTCTGGAGGGGGTTTTATAGTCCTGGGAAACAAATGCATGCATAGATCACAGGAGCCGGAGCTTATGTTTGTATCACCATGTCTTGGCACCTAGGAAGCACATGACAAATACCTTTAATGCATTCATTAGAATAGGCCTTAAGGGACCATCTATTCTGACCCCTATCCATTTTGATAAAGGAGAAAATTGAGTCCCAGAGAGGGGAAGGGGCTCTCCTACACTCAAAATAGGGGGAAGAGTTGGGATTTGAACTCAGACTCTTCACCTTGTCTGTGTCCTTTAAAAACAATGATTCACACATGTAAACTCGATACTTCAACTGAAGTTCTGAGACAGGCAGAGCCCTTGAAGACACCCTTATTCTTGGATAGTCTTTTCCTATTAGTGTATCTTAGGGAAAACATTAGCATTTTGAGCTACCATGAGGCCCTCTTGGTTCTCATTGGTTTTCAGAGACCACCAAAATCCATGGGTCTTCTCAAGTGGACTCCTATCTAGAGGTGCCCCTAACAAGACCTCATCAGTACCCCATAAGCCTAGTTCATTCCCATTCCTCTCTAGACAGTCACAGGCTACTTCCATATCTAGTTGAAACAGGAGGATGAGTCCAGGATAGGCGAGTGGGAGAGAAAAGCAGCCTGGAAAATGATGCATTTTTCTCCCATAACTATAACTGAAACAACAGCTGAGATGATTAAACTCTTGTCATCAGCACATTTTCAAGGGGAGAAAGGGCCATATTTCTGCCCCCGAGCTTTCTGGGCCATCAGCAAGTAAGCCAATCTTGTCTCAAGTCCATGGCCTTGTTGGCAAAGGGGTCCACCTTAGTTAGAGGCATGCCCCCTGGCTCTTGCTGCCTGTCCTGTCACTGACATGTTGTGCTCACTTACATCAGCCTCCAATTCTTTGTGCTTCTTTCTGCCTTTACTTTCTCACTTCCAAAATATTTCTGTATCAAATTTCACAATAATCTTGTGCCATGAAGAAGAAAAGATTTTTCCCTCTTCTACATAGAGAAGAAGAAATACAGGAAGGCTGTGTATGCTGCCAGGAATGTTTGCTTGCTTTGCTTAACCAATGCCCTTAGTTACAAGGGAGGAACCTTCCTAGTGGGGGAGGGTTATTAGGAAGTGGCTGTTACGGTGAAAAAAAAAATCTCAGAAATAAGTATCTATGAAACATTTTTAAAAGAAGGGGAAAAAGAGAAGTTCCTCAGGATTTAGAAGGTAGACGTCTCCACTAATTCTACTAATGAGGAAGTGGGTCTGGAGAAGAGACTTGCTGAGGTCATGCAGTAAGTTAGGAGAAGAGCTCAGATGAGAAGGCATCTAACACCATGTTCCAACCACTATTGTCATATAAATGCCAACAAGCAGAAAAGGAGCAGATGGGGCCAAGAGAAGAAAAAATAAATGTCTGAAAGATGAAATTAAATAGTCAGTCATGTTTTCCGAAAGCCTGCAGGGAGCTCATCCAAAGAACTATTCTGTGGTGATGGCAGTCTGCTGAGAAGGGTTCTCATCATAGGACCATGGTTAAATGATACTTAACCAAGCCTTAGTTTCCTGGGCTGTAAATTGGGGATAATGTGAACTACCAGTCTCTCACTGAAAGCATTGCCAGACTCAGGATCACCCAGTTGGGAAAGACTCACCCTACTTCAGGAGCAAATTACCTTAATCTTAGTCATCTGGGGCGCCTGGGCCTTGATTTCCTTTGTCACACGTTCATTCATGCCTGGGAATAACATGTTGCCTCCGCAAAGGATAGTGTTCACGTAAAAGGTCTTCCTTATTTCAAAATCACATTTCATAAGGCTCTCATGTATGTTTTTATGAAGACCTGGAGATGTGACCCCTGCAAAGAAAAAGGAGTGGGGATGGGTTAGCATTTGTCTCTTAGGAAAGCCCTCTGCACCAGCATCAGGGAAACAGCAGAGGAGGCAGTGATTGAGCTCTGTCAGCACCATGGCTAGGTCCAGGAGCAGATCTGGAAATTGTTGCGTTGCCTGCTACGGCTAACCGCTGGAGAGAGCTCTCAGGTCTGGCCAAGCTATTCAAAGGGGAGGGAGAATTTTTCCAGGGGCTTAGAATTATCCGACTGGGCTGGCTTCTGAGCCCTTAGGGACTTTAGATTATTCCCAAAATAAGTCCAACGAGGGTAAACCCACCAGCGTCAGAAAGTTCTTCATGGTATTGTTTGTGTTTCCCAAAGAGAAATGTTTCTGATGTGGGTCTGTTAGTCAGTCAACAAACATTTATTGTGGTTACAAAGAAAAACAAAAGACAGTCCCTTTTCTCAAGGAATTCAGTCTGATGGAGGAGACAACATGCAATTAAACATGTAGAAACAAGACATAGACATGACAAATTAGAGATAATCCACAGAAGGAAAGCCCCTAACATTAAGGAAGGAATCAGGAAGGGCTTCTTGTAGAAAGTGGGATTTTAGTTTATCTCTGGATCTCTTCCCTGGTGCATAGACCAGCAGGGATGCAGTTAGGGAAGTCTTCCCTGTATCTGCCCATCCCCTGCCCAGAAGTTATGTATCCTGGAGCAATTCCTGGTGCCACCCCCAGGTGAGGAAGGTGGTGTTGATCTGCCAGTCAGGCTGAGTCTGTGATGATAAGCCTGTGGTGAGACAACTTGGGATGCATATCTTATAAAATGAAGATTCAATTCTCTGTCTGTCTCTCTCCCTCCCTCCCCCCCCCTCTCTCTCTCCCCCCCCCTCCCCTCTCTCTCTCCCTCCCTCTCTTTCCCTCCCTCCCTCTCTCTCCCTCTCTCTGTCTCCCTACCTTTCTCTCTCTTTCTCTCTCTCCTCTCTCTTTTCTCTCTGTCTCTCTCTCTCTTCCTCCCTCTCTCTCTCTCCTCCCTGTTTCTGTTTCTCTCTGTGTCTGACATCAGCTTGCATGACTTCCATTATCCCTTCCATGCAGCTGATTCACAGATCTATATATCCAGCTCTGACCTCTCTCTCTTGAGCTCCAGGCCACCAGCACTAGAGCTGCCTGCTAGGCATTTCAAACTGGATGCCCCACAATACATTCCAAACAGAACTCATTATCTCATCCCACTCTCCCCTCTTCCTGATTACTGTCAAGGGCCCCACCAGCCTCACAGTTATCCTAGTTCAAAACCTCAGAGTTCTTTAGTTTTCCCTTTCCTTAATTTCCAACATCTAATCATTGTCAAGTCTTAGCCATTCTACCACCACCACATCCCCCGACCCTTCTCACCACTCACGTGGCTACTTAGCCCCACTAGCTTGCCTGCACAACTGCCCTGGCTTCCTAATTGCTCTCCTTTCTTTCCAGTGTCTCCACACTCCAATCCTCCTTCTCACAGCTGCCAAAATGATATTTCCAAAGCCGAGGTGTGACTGTGTCACTAGTCTGCTCAAGAAGCCCTGGGGCTCCCAATTGCTTCTAGTATAAAACAAAAATGCCTCTGTTTGGCATTTAAAACTCTGGCCTTTGGTTACCTTTCCAGGCTTACTGTACATTCTCCTTCACTCTAATTTCAAATAAACTGGCCTTGCTGCAGGTCTTCTCATGCACTGTTCTATCTCCTGCTTCCTGGACTTTGTAGACCATCTTCAACCCCGACCCCCCCAGCCCACTCATACTTGGGCTACTTTTCCTCTACTTCCCCAAAACACCAGCTCTCTTCAAGGCTCAGCTCAAAGACCACTTCCTGTCATAAGTTTAGTCTGTTGTGCTCCTTCCCCAGTGCCCTCCCTCCCAGAAATCACTTTATGTTCCCATCATGAATGCCCTCTCTCTACATCTCCACCTCTTAGAATTCCTAGGGGCCTCCAAAACAGCTCAAGGGCCTTCTCCCTGTCACAGGAGGCCTTTCTGCCCCATCCACCTCTCAAATCCAACTGTATTTATCTTGTATCTATTCAGGACATACATGTTGGCTCTCCTGGAATCAAAGTTTTGGTCACTTTATTTCCATACGCTTTGAAATCCTTAGTATTTTATGCATTTAAAAATAGCATTCTTAGAAGTGATCTTTTGGCTTCATTAGACTGCCTAAGTGATCCAGGACATGAATAAGGCAAAGAGCCCTTGCCCTCATTGAGTGGAAGCTCCATGAGGGTAGGAGTGATTTCTTTTTGTCTGTGAAATGTGGATGTCTAACACAGCTCCTGGCACAGAGTGGGAAATTAATAAATGAAGGAATCAGCAGTATCTCCCCTCCCCTCACCCCAAGTCTTCTCTTCTCAAGCAAGAAGTCTTCATTTCCTCCTGTCCCCTCACCATTCTGGCTGGGACTGTCCCAGTTCATTCACTCAATGCTAGCCCTCATAATCCCTGTCCATGTAATTATTGTCTGCTTTGGAAAATCCTAGAGAAATGGCTGGTCCATGTGTAACAGGTAGCATAGGAAGTGTGTATATATGGGGCAGAAATGTGCTCTGTCTCTGGCAGACACACCTAACCTGGATGGTTCAAACAAGGCCTCAGGACAGCGGAACCTCTCCCTGCCCATGGTAATTATTCTGCCATCAGGGAGCTCATATTCCTTCTGTATGGAGGCTTCTGGAGTATGCATCTCCTCTATGTAGTCCAAAGCCACGTAGCAAAATTTCTCCTTCATGGTTCTGACCATTTCCCATTCAGCTGGGGGAGAGAGAACACTGCATAGGAAAATGTGCCTACAAAAAACAAGGTCTGTTTAAGATCCAGTACCTCATGGGGCTAGGGGTAGGAGAGGGGTGGGCTGGGAGGATGCCCCCTTTTTTAGAAGAGACTTTTACTAGAAATGACCACCCAAGCAGCATATAAGTTTTTTGAGGCAAGACCTTTTTTCCCTCTTTTCTTTGTTAATTATCTTTATATCTTCAGTTCTTGCCACATATTCATCCATCTATCCATCCATTCACTCATTCATTTATTCAAGTATCCATTAAGTACCACCATATGCCAGGTCCTGTGCCAGGTGCTGGGGATACAAATCCCAAATAAAATAGCATCTGACTTTGGACCTTTCATTTAATTGGGATGGGGCTTGGAGAATGGACAGTGGGCACACCAATGCACAGATAAGTAAATACAAAGTACGCTCCCCCAAGGACCTGTGATCCAGTGTGAGTGACGTTCACTCCTACCATGACACAGATAAAATAAAATAAATACCCAGTCATTTTGTTGTATGGGGGGCATTAATAATGAATGAATGGCTGAGATCAGGAAAAATGTCTTGAAGGAGGTAGCTTGAAGAAGTTGAGCCTTGGAAAGGGAGAATGAAAAGGCATAGAGAGAACATTTCAGACACAGGAGCACAGTCCTTGCAAAGCCACTGAGGCAAGAGAGGAAATCTTGTCCATGGAAAACAGCTCCTAGGAAAGGCAGGTGAGAGTAGGGAGCTTGGAGGGATGGGATGAGGAAAGCTATCTTCCTGGAAATCTTCCTAGAAAGGTAGGCTACACCCAAACTGTGGGGGGGGGGCCTTTAAATACCAAACAGAAGAGTTGGTATTTCATCCTAGCGGCAATAGACCGCTAGCCACTGACCAATGCCTCTTGTGCAGGGGCAGTGACGTGATCAGGCCTGTTCTCTAGGCATATCAGCTTGGCAGCTGTGTGGAAGACAGGGCAGAGGAGAGAGACTGGGGACAGGGGGCTCAATCAGGAGATCATTGTAATGGTTTAGGGGAGAAGGAATGAGGGCCTAAATTAAGGTCCACATTTAATGGATGCTCGTTGAGTCACAGCGTGCCTCTGAAGGTAATCCCTGACATGCCACTTGTCCCATTGGTGGACCCTCTGTAGAGCAGCTTTAGCTGTATAGTGAGGCTTAGCTCCTTTCCCTGAGTTGCCTGGTCAGGGCTGTGCTGTCTCACCCAGGGTCTTCAGGGAGTAGCCTTTGTCCACGAGAATCTTCGTAAGGTACGTAGAGAGGTCCCGGCCGGACACCTCCATGTTGGTGATGGCGTCAAATGAGATGTAGCCATCTTCGATGGGGACACTGTAGGTCACTTCATCCCCAGAATGCACCACGAGTCCTGGAGCGGGAAAAGGCCCTGGTGCGTCCCAAGGAAGAAGCTTGCTCTCCTCTCAATTATAATTATAGAGCAGCCTAAGTCAGATAATTTGCAGCTGAGCTAAAACTACATGGGGAAAGGGAGAAAACCAGGGTATCAGAGAACCTCTGCCTACGGCACCACCTGTTGGTGAATATGCCCTTATATTCCCTTCACTAGCCTTGAGGTCAGGGAGCTTCAAAGACCTAGAACAGGGGCATGGGATGTCACAGTCTGGGAAGGGCCTTAGAATACAGCACGTCAACAGCTGGCAGGGACCTTATAACGTGAAATCTTAAGAACAGGGAGAGACCTTAGAATACAAAAGATCAGAGCTGTCATGACATTAGAGTGTAGAATGCTACAACTGGGAGGGACCTGAAAACAGAGAAAAGAGTGTCAGATCTGGGAAGGACCTTAGAACCTAGAAAGTGTCAGACTGTGAATGTCAGAGATAGAGGAGACCCTGAAGTATTGACTGTAAGAGTTGGGGGGGGGTTACTTAGAGATAATATAATCCACCCCTTTCCTCCTTTATAACTGAGGTTTCAAGGTAAAACAGAATGGATACGTCAGCACTCACCAGTGGTCCGGCCTGAAGAGAAAAGGGACAGAATGTCCTGGATTGCTACGTACAAGGCTGGAATTTTAAAGGTTTCAAACATGATCTACAAAGGAGAATCAGCAGTCAGAAGGGGCCTCTATTGGATGGAGAGGGGGCAGGCCAGGAGGAGGCAGTATTCCAAGGGATAATGTGAATTTCTACTCACAGAGTCCAGAAGTATCACTGCTAGAAGAGACCCCAGCCCATTGATCCTCCTTCTCACCTGAACCTCTCAGCTACAGGGAATCCCCAGCCTCCTTCCTGAGGCCTTTCCTATTCCCACCCCCATCCTCACCCCCAGTTACCAGTGCTGGGTCCCTTTTGAAATTGCATTGAATTCCTCTGCATTTACCTCTCTGAGACACAAGTTATCTTGCAGATAGAATATAAGCTCCCTGAAGACAGGAATTGCGCAATTTTTTTTTTATCTTTTCATTTCTGGCCCCTAGGACAGTGCCTGGAACAACAGCAATCTCTTCTGCTACCAACCCACCAAGCAGCAATCCAGCCTTTGCTTGCAAACCTCCCATATTGGTGTCTAGGGCCATGTTGGGAATTGGCATTTTAGGATAGGATTGGGAGATATTACAACCTCTAACAAGGGAAGGTCATCTCAGGGTGGTGGGGCAGCATGTACCATGCACCTTTAAAGGGGGAAGAAGCAACAGGAGGCCCTGGACACCTCCCTCACGCTCACTTCACCAACACATACACACTTCCATGGAGGTTCTGAATTCATAAGAAAGTAAGTCAGGATTATAGTATATTTAAGCCATGGAGAGGTTTGGCTCCCTGCCCCATAGAGACACATCCATATCGGTAACAGGAACCTAGATCTAAGAAGGAATCTTAGACTGCAGAATATCAGAGCTGGAGGGGATAAGAGAACATTAGAACTTGGAAGGCCCTTAGAATGTGAAGTGTAGAGTCGGAGCTGGGAGGGGTCTCAGATCATAGAATGTCAGGCCTGGGAGGGACTTCAGAGACTGACATTCTTCTCATTCCTTCTCTCATCCACCGCCTGGCTTACCTGTATTAATTTCTCTTTGTTGGCCTTTGGGTTGGTGATGCTCTCTGTCATCAGGAGGGGATGTTCTTCTGGGTCTATGTGGAGCATATTGTAGTAAGCGTGATGCCAGATCTTAGGGCAAGAAGCAAAGTGGTGTAACTCAGCTCCTGTCCACAGCAGCCTCCATCTCCCACAACCTCATTTGGGATTCACGCAACATTCTACGTCTGTAACCTACCTCTCCCCCACCACACCCCGACTCTAATTGTTTTTTTTAAGTTAAGTCTAGTTGGACCCTCTACGCGGACAGGATTCCTGAGTTATCTAGTCCTGTGGCACACTTCTCTGAATGTGGGTTAATTGCTCAGGGGTCCTAATAAATCTCTTCTATTAAGGCACTGCTTCCCCAGACGTGGACATAGCTATTAAGGTGGTTTGGTCTAGCTGAGTGGTACCAGCAACAGCCATCCTGACCAAAGCCCTCCCCAATGCCCTGGTTGCACACTGACCTTCTCCATGTCTTCCCAGTTGGTGACAATTCCACATTCAATGGGATATTTCACTGTGAGCTTTCCCCACTTCTTGGTGACTTCATTTCCAATGAAAGTATCCCTCGCGTACATTCCACGCATCACACTCTGGAAAATGCAGGTATCAACTCGTCACTGGCTGGACAATTGGTATGCCACAATGGGAGGCAGTGTGTCATTTTATGTGGGACCTGGGGGCACTTCTGCCTTGATATTCCTTCCGGTTACCATTTGTTGAAATGCCCATGAATTAAGTGTTTTCAATAACTCCTCTGGGAGGTGGTTGAGTAGGGGCATTGCCTTTTCCATACAGCAGACATTTTGTAGACAAAGAAAATGAGGTTCGTTTACATTACTGAGCCAGTCTTATTCCTTCAGGAAGACTACTTACATTCCCTTTTTCTGCAGAATTTTCTGCAGAATTCTCCTCCTGTTCCCGAGTACCACCCTGATCAAAGTCCTTTGTCTCTGAGCTGCTCCACAGGCTTTGTTTTACCCTATCCTTACACGAGGTGGTGTGGTAGGGGCCTCAAGACAACCAAGGCCCCATCCAGGTGGTTTCATATGCTTTCCAGTGACCCAGTGGCCAGGTACAGAGACATGATAACTTCAGATTAAATACAAGTGACTGCCAGCAGGGCAGAATACGTGAATGCTAAGCACTTACACTCAAGACTCATGGTAGGATTTAAGTTGGATCTCTGAGTCCCTGGACTTGACTAAGCATGCCTGAATAGGATCTGTGCTTAAGAAAAAAGAGAAATGGTCAGGTGAAAAGCATCCTGGATTTGGAGTCTAGAGACTTGTTGTCTCCTGCCTAGGCGTAGCCCAGTGCAAGTTCGTGATCTGAAAAGAGTCGATCCAGATTTTTAAAGAGTCCTTTAGTAAATTCAAGCAAACACCCACTGGAGGTGCAAAAATGCTCATCAATGACACCTCCAGGTGCATTCCGGTCCATAGGCACACAACTACCTCAATAACATGGACCATCCCATGAGAATGAACAGTTCATCAAATCCAAAGAACTCCTCTCTTCTTGGTACTGGTTACTACATGATTCCTGAAAGCTACGGGTAACCCATCCCTCCTCTGACTTCCATGATGAAGGCCTACACTGCACTTCAAATCATTAAAGCCTGATCAGTCCCTGGTGGCCCAGGGCCTAGGCAGAGCAAGTATTGCCTGAGACGCCTGGGTTCTCCTCTCAGCTCCGACACTGACGCATGGTATGAGCATGAGCCAACACGCCCTTCTCTGTAAAATGAAGATAATGGGGATCCGTGTCTGAGCTGACACGAAGGAAAATCACATGGAATGATGAGAAGGCTTGGTAACAATAAAGCCCAATACAATGCAACCCATGATTAATTAATCATGATTAATTTTTTATTATTGTCTTCAGAATCACAGAATTTCAAAGTAGAGAGAACTCAGGGCCACCTATTCGAAACTACAGCTGACCAAGCATCCCCTCAGTAACATACTTCCCTAATAAGAGGTCCTTCAGCCTCTGCTTGAAGACTTCTAGGGACAGGGAGCTCACTACCTCCCAAGGTAGTGGCCATATTTGGGCAGCCATCATTGTCAGGAAAGTCTGTCTCCATTTGCCTCTTAACAAGCTCCATTCAAGTTTCACTGTGGTGCCTTCTGGATCAAACAAAACAAGTCCCATGGCTCAGAAATGGTTATCTGGCCTCCTTTGTTTTTCTCTACTCCAAGCTCAACATCCGTGGTTCCCTCAACTATATGTGTATGTGTGTGTGCATGCGCATGTGCATGCATATGTCAGTATATATACATGTATATATGTACAAATATGTGTGTTTGCGCGTCAGCAACTCCCCAAATTTATACTCCTTAGAACCAGCATGAGACAGCAGATGATTAGCTTTGGGATCAGGAAGACCACAGTTCAAGGCCAACGTGTGACATCCATGGGCTATGTGGGGTTGTGAATGTGGCTCAACTCCTCTTTGCCTCAGCTCCTGCCAGGGCTGCTAGGGGGGTGGACAATGGATTCCTGTGGATCATTAGGCCCAGGTGCGTCTATGGGGGGGGCGACAGGGAAGCTTAGCTTCAGTGACGGGACTCCCACAAAGGGAATTTAGATGCCCTTTCATTGTATTTTTCAAGTAAAAAACCTTTTAAAGGGCCTTGTCCTCTAAGAGCTGGGACTCTGGTGCCTGCCCATGGCCTGCGTTTTCTGGGTGCCTGCCTACCTGCCACAGTATGTAAAGCAATGGGCCTCAAGTCAGGAAGCCACGAGGTCAAATTTAGCCTCAGACACTTACTAGCTATGCGACCCTGGGGCAGGTCGCTTAGCCTCTGTTTACCTTAGTTGCTTCAACTGTGAAATGGGAAAAATAAAAACATTTACCTCTCAGTGTTGTCATGAGGATCAAATAAAATAATATTTGTAAAGTGGTTACTCAGCGCACAGTGCCTGGCACTTAGTAGGTGTTATTTAAAGCTTTTTCCTTTCCCCTTGTAGCAAAGCTCTAATTTAAGCCCAGATTCTGTGATTCTAAACCAAGTACTCTTTCTACCCTGAGCAAGCTGGGTTTCTGAGAAAATAAATTCACATCAAAATCAGCCAGAGTCAAACATAATTTGGAAGGTTATTAATGACTCCTATCTTGTCTCTCAAAGCAAAACAGACACAATTGGCCTTTGAATGGACTACTGCTGTTTTAGATTGCCCAGAAATCCAGAGTCTCATAGATAACTGGGAGTCACATTGATGCCGTGATTTAAGGCGTGTGTGTGCGTGTGTGTGTGTGTGTGTGTGTGTGTGTGGTTGTGACCCTGATTTCACAGGAAAAAGACAGTAAAGCCCAGAAGGGTGGAGGGATTGGCCCAAGGTGATCCAGCTAGTCATTGTGAAGGATGCACAGGGGAATTATACCCAAGAGGGATAAAGGAGGGAATCCTGGAGAAAATCTCCCCTAATACTATTAGCTGTGCTTGGTCTCTACCTAGAGAGCCTCACGGGATAGATGGAGGCCTTTGGTTCAGGAGTAAAAGGAGCTATAGAGTTTAAGTACCTTTGAGAAGTCAACTAAAATGCGGGAAGAGGGCAGAGCCAGAGGGAAGGCACACGGAGGTACCGGGCTCATTTAAGCCAAAACAGGGAGGGGGAGATACAGGACAGGATCTTTCCAAAGGAGGGGAGGCTGAAGGAGGCTCTGAGAGTGGAAGGGATTTGGCCAAGGTCATACAGTTCTTGGGGGCAGATCCAGGGCTAGAACTCAAGTGGGGCCGTTCAAACAAGCCTTCAGTTTTATGGGCCTCTTTGAGAATGACAAAGCTCCTGTTCAGCTCCCTGCCCTGCTGCCTGGAATCTTCCATACCAGAATGTTCTGTGCTGGACCGTTGTACCCCCGGCACCTCCTAGCCAATCCCTGACTTCTGATTACTTATGACATCAGAGATGGGAAGCCAATCAGACCCTGCTGAGTGAGACTCTACCCTCCCTTAAAAGCAACACATTACATTAATTACACTGCTAATGCCTAAGGAGGTTGCAGTCCATTAAAACCCACAGATCTTTTTCTAACTCTTGTGAACTAACATCTTGTATTGTGAGGTTGATTTTTTGAATCCAGGTACAAAACTTTACATTTATTCCTATTGGACTTTATCTTACTTAATCCAACCCAGTGGCCCAGTCTGTCAAAATTCTTTTGGACCAGTCATCCACTGTGTTAACTCTCCTCCTTCACAGCTTTGTCATCTGTGAATGATAAACATGTCATCAATGTCTTTTCCAAGTCCTTGATAACAATGTCGATGAGCAATAGGACAGGCATAGATGCCCATGGTCCCCACTGGAGACCTCCTTCCACCTTGACATCGAAACATTAACCCTTGCTAGTCCTGAATTCATCTGACTGGATTATTGTAATCTCGCCTACACCTCTTCATCTTCTCCGGAAGAATTGTATGAGCTACCTGTTAAAAGCTTTGCTAATTTAGGTAAAGTATAATTCTGCCTCATCTACCATAGTTTAGTAGTCCAGTCAAAAAAGAGAACGAGGTTAGTCTGGCATGACCTGCGCTATATGAAGCCCAGCTGGCTCTTGTGATCACTGCTTCCCTTTCTAATTGTTCAGGAATCATCTTTTTAATGATTTCTTCTACAATTCTCCCAGCGTCATTCCCTGCCCTGAACCCCACTCTCCTTCATGCCCCTCCCATCTTAGTACAGCCTCAAAATATCCTTTGTGTGAATTTAAAGGTGCCTATAATGAAGGCCTCTGGCTTTTTCACATCACCGGTCAGTCATTCTGTTTCTTTCATGAAAGCCTCTGAGTCCCAGGGCAGCTGTGAGAGCCTGAGACACAGGGGCTCCCCCTCCCAGCTTGGAGTTCCCCAAACAACTCCACAGAGGTGAAGGCTACTCATCTCAGAGGATACTAACCTGTCTTTTGTAGCGCCCAACCACACATGGGAAAACAAATCGGGGGGCCTGTTCTCCACCATACCCCACTTTGAAGTATCTGGAGCCACCATCAAATACAACAGCCGCAGGGTCTTCAACCTCTCCCAACATTTTTGTGGCTATTGAAAAGAGACAGCGTAGTCCTGCTTTGTCCTGGGTCCGGTCTTAGGGCCTCTAGGTCCTCAGCAAAGAGGCAAAGACTGAGAATCTCAGAGACCTGGAGGAGGTCATTTCTTGGGTCCCTGGGGAGTCACCCATCCTCCTACCTATAACCACGTTGAGGAAGGCAGCTGCTAAGCAGAGAAATGGAGCCCTTTTCCAATCAGGGCCGGCCACCCAGCACCCTGCTGTCCCATTCCATCCCCTCAGGGCCCCAGGGAGGTGTTGTTAGAACCACGGGCTTTCCTTGGGCATCTTTGCTGCTGGTTCCCTTCCCCCTCCCACTTCCTCGTTCTCTCACATGATTGGCTTTGACGGCCCCATGCATTTATAACCATTTCCACAGTGACTTTCTTTGCTTACTGAGCCAGGTATCCTTGGGCCCTGATTTGGCAGGGCCTTGTCTGCATTGTGACCTTTCCAGTACCTACATCTCTGACCCTGGGGGTTCTGGGCCTCACTTCTGTCTAACCTCCTGAGGCTGTGACAGCTTCTACCTGAGCTAAATGGCTGGGGCCCCAAATTGTCTGGCTTCTATTCACCTCTAGACACTTTTCTGGCCAGTGCCAGGTGGCAGAAAGGCTCCTAGATTGGAAGTCAGAGAACCTGGGTTCACATTGGCTTTGCTGCCCATGGGGTTGGGTAAATTCCTTTCCCTCTCCATGCCTTAGTTTCTGACCCTGTAAAATGAGGGGATTGTTGGACTTGGTGATCTCTAAAGGTCTTTCTCACTTACATTCCATGTTCATTGTTTTAAGGACCTTCCCAATTTAAGATCCAGTGATCTGGCTATACGTGGAGATTAAACATATATGATGACAGACATGCTTATCTCCTTAGACTCTTGAGTAGCCTAGCACGTCTTCACTAGACCTAAGTTTTGGGGAATAGCTGCCCTCAACCCAAGCCGCAGCCAATAAAATCAACAGCTTTATCTCTCTGCCCTAAGACTCCTTCTAGAATCGAGTTATTATTTCACTCTTCACCTGCCGATGCCATTCCCATTGCCAGGTAAGCGAACTTTTGCTTTATAGGTGAAACACTATCATACAGTGAGAGGAAGCATTATGTGGAGAACCAGTCAGGGTGAAGAAACCTAATAATCCCTTGGGCCACAGTGCACCTCCCCATGCTGGAGGGCCCTACCTTGGTTATCCACCTCTGCAATACTTCATTTTTTTCAATGAATGCATTTTGTTTATTTTTGATTTACCGTCATAGTGATTTCCAATGTAACTTCACCCCTAGCCCCAATGAAACTCTCCCTTGTTAACAAAGACGAAAAGAGAAAAAATGACCCAGCTCTGATGCCTTCCTCGTGTAAAGATGTGTATTGTAGCGAGCTTCTGGACTGCTATCTTTCACCCATGCTTGTTAGTGAGGGCTCCACAAGATGAATAATTGTAATCACAGAGAGGGAAGGAACCTTGGAGGTGATCCCATCCAATTCCTTCATTTTACAGGTGAAGAAACTGAGGCTTAGAGAGGTAGAGGGACTGTGGGCAAGGGCAGTCACACAGTTCATAGGTGGCAGGGCATAGGTTAGAGTCTCGCCCAGGTCTCCTGTGTTCCAATCCAGCACTCAGTGTATTAACCCCAATCCCTAGGGGTCCACAGCATGTGGCACACAGTGGGCATTTAGTTAATATTTGGCCAATGAAAGGAATAAATGAATATATGGAGGCAGCTGTCACCTCACATAGGCAGAAAATATTGCTTATGTTGCTCAGAAAAAAAAATTAATGTGATGTTTATTAGCTGACCATGGACATATTGTGTTTGAGCAAAGCTGACAAACATAAACAAAAACCAAACACGAACGGAGCGTACTCCCTGAAAACTGCTACTCTAGAGGCCAGCACGAAGAAGGAAGGCCGAGAATTCTCATTGTTACGAGCTAAGACCAACCCCACCGCCACTGCTGTTCCCCTGCGTCTTGCTTACCTGCCTCCTTGTCTTCATCTGCCTTCTTAAAGCTTCCGCGAATGTGACTTCCTCGGCTCGACTTTCGTTATCCTATCTCCCCACATCTCTCCAAATGCTTCACGCTGGTTTCCTCCAACAGACAATAAGATTCCATTCCATTTACATACCACGGCATACTCAGCCATTTTCCAACGCATAATTTCCAGATTTTTGCTATTACAAATAATGCTCCTGTGAATAATTTTTTTCCAGGAGGGACTTTTTTAATTTTGTAAATAACCTCCTTCAGGGCATAGAGACTTAGTAGTGGGATCCCACAGCCAGAGGATGTGAATAGTTCTAGAATTTTTCTTGTCTAATTCCTAAAGTGATTTCCAAAATAATCATCTTGATCAGTAGCAGCAGATTAGTGCCTGGCTTCCTTCAGCCCCACCAACAAGGTGAGAAAATACATGGGTTATTATAGAAGAAACCCGAATTCTCTCCCTCCTCACCTCTGCCTCCTGGCTTCCTTCAAGTCCCAGCTAAAACCCCACCTGCTATGAGAAGCCTTTACCAACACCCCTAATGCCTTCCCCTAAGATTATCTCCAATTTATCTTGTATACATCTTATCTATACTTAATTTTTAACACCCCCAAACTGGAAGCTCACTGAAGGCAGGGACTGTCTTTCTGCCTTTGTTATCTCCAGTATTTAGCACAGTACTTGGCACCTAGGAGGTGGTTAGTAGTGGTTGGTGAATGAGCAAATGACTACCTTGTGACTGTCAGAGCAGGTAAGGAAACATGGACCACTGCACCTTAATTGTGCATTCATGTTCTTTGGTTGCTTTTTTGTTGATCGTTTTTTCCCCGTGCTGACAATTCACAGTTAAATCAACTGTTGATTGTAATGATCTCCTGACTCTCGTGATTCAGCCTGTAGTCAGCTCTGGTGTCTACAGAAAATTCTACACTGGATCTATTTCGTTAAAAACCATTGGGAAGTACCCAATGTATTCCCCCTTTTTTTTTCCAGTAGAATCTAAATTCCTTGAGGTCAGGGGTCATTTTTTTTCCTCTTCTTCAGTAATGCCTAGCACAAAACCTGGCACACCATAAGCGTTTAATAAATGCCTATTGAATTGGATTGAATTGAAGGGGCTCAGCTATAAAAATGACTCACTGCCTTTGACTAAAATCATTAATAAAATTTTGGCCAAGCACCACTGAGCCTATTTACTGCCTGTTCTGAGGAAGCTACAATGGGAACCTTATGCGTTATCTCTATTTTAAAGTGCAAAAGGACAAAGGTACAATGTGATAGCATCCGTGCATTCACAAAAGTTATTTTAACAAAGTGGATCAGTACACAAGAGTACTTGGAGACCTAAATCATTTTTAAGATGAGAGGAAGGTTGGTGTCAGAGCCCCCAGAATTAGGCTATTCCCTGTAACTGTTAGCATATCAAACACACCTGCACCAGGTCTCTAGTCAAATTCAAGATTAGCCTCATTTCTTTGTTAAGTCCATAGCCATGAAGGTCTGGTATTGGTGAAAATGGGGGCAGACGAGGAAATGGGGCCAGCAGCAAAGGAAAAAGAAGGTCATTAAACAATAGAAACTTAAATATAAACATGTCAAAGGGGCATTATAAAGACTTCAGGGATGCTGGCAGGAGGCGACTTTATTTAGTGCAGAGGAATTTTCAGAATCATTCAGATCATAATCCAGAGATTCCCTACTTCTCTGTGCCTAACATTCAGTATGTCTGAGGACTCCAGAGTCCAGGGTTCCAGATAACATGGTGGAATGCAAGATCCTCGAGGGCAGGGTCTGTTTCCTTCCTGTCTTTGTATTCCCAGTGCCTACTATAATTTGTGGCATATAATTTGTAGCACACTAACGCGTACTTATTTATTGATCTCTGAAGATGGACTTCTCTTCTAAAAGCCCTTTGCACTTGCAGCATTTAGTTTCTTGTGTTCATTTTTAAATCCAAGGGCCTCTAATATTTTTACTTTAATTTTATAAGAAAATCCAGGATATAGTCATCTAAGGAGGGGTGGGTTGGTCACCAAGCAAGAGTGAAGCATCACAGAGAGACAGCCTCAGTTAGTGTTCCTGCAAGGGCATCCACAGAATAAATCAGGCAGCCTGTTTCAGCATCTGAGATAGCTTCTCTAGAGAGCCGTGGAGAGACATGGAACATCTCAGAGGGAGAAGGCACGAAGGTTTGTGTTGTGCAGCGACAGAGGTGGTAACCAAACGGATGATATCTCTCAAAATATGGAAGAATTTCAACATTTATTTTCGGAACTTCACTCTTGAAGTAAACTAGCATGATATTTGAGTTCAATTAGTTTGTTCTCTTTTAGGAGGGATTGTTCCTAGTGGAACTTCATTTGTGTAATTTCTTCTAAAACACTTTTTCTTTAATTTTTCATTATTGCTTTGAGACAATCCAACAAAAAATGCATATTGAAGTCAATTGAATCTATTTGCTTTTCATGGCATAATGGTGATGCTTTGCCCCTCCAGAGGACAGCTATGATCTCTTCTTCAGAGCATCCTATGTAATTTGCAGTCCTCATTTTCCTGGCCAAGAATGCCGGCTATCACTCCCTGAAGCCAGCATTTCCATTGATTTCATTATTTGTTGTCTCTTGCCTTTTGATTATTATCTTCACATTTTTGTCCTGGAAGGAGCATCTGCCAGGCAGGAACAGAACTCCGATTTCTATGAGCTCTTCTTGTGGAAGAGTCAACTTTATTACTTTAGCTTTCATTTGTTTCTTCTCCCCTTAACATTTTAGAGTTCGTAATTTTAGTATTAAAATCAACATGTGCTACAAGAAAGTCAGAAGTCTAGCTGAAAGGCATAGGAAATGGTTGTCACCTCGAAAAATTTATGGAAAGGATCATGGTGCATGGTTACATACAGAGTTTTTATTGTGCCTCTCTATGTTAGTGTTTATCAATAAAGCTGTTTTGTACAAAACTGGAATGATTTTTTTTTGTACTTATGGATTTCCTCTGGCTGCTAGTGGCCTCCTTCGGCTACAGTCACAACAGTGGGATCTTGGGGTCAATCGGAAGGAACAGTTGGATAACTCTTTTGGATAATGGTTTCCAGAACGGCTGAATCAATTCCCAGCTGCGAGTGAATTAGTATTTCTGTTGGCCTAGTCCTAACAATAAGTGTACTCAATTTTCAGCATTTTTGCTAGCTGAGTGGATCCTTAAGGGTTGCTGTAATGTGTATTTCTCTGGTTATTATCATACCTGTTTTAAAGTACTGGATGAGCATTGTGGTGAACTAATGCGTCGCTGCTGCTTTTCTTAATCCAAGAGACAATGCAAGCTGATTCAAAGCGCTCATTCTCCACATGAACACATACCCGACCTTAGATAGATAGATAGATAGACAG